TCGCGGGGCTCCCTACTTCTGAGTGCTTTATGAAAAAATTACCACGAAAGGGATGGCGGGGTCGAGTGAGCGAGCGAGCGAAGCGAGCCTTCTAACCTAACCTGTCCGAGTCGGGGTGCCCCACGTCCCAAGATCGCTTCGCTCGCTAATACACTCAATATAACACCAAAATATTAACTTTTATTAACTACTTTAATTTATAAACATAATTTATGGCTGCCACCATTTGTAAGAAAGGATCTTTGCGATATTTAGCAGTATTCCGCGGCCACAAATATTCCACTATTCACCAAAATTCTGAAACTCGGAAGCAACGGCATGACCGCATGATGTAAATCTGTCAACAAAATGGCCGGCCTAGTGATTAATTTTACACATTTTTAAATCGATTCGAATCGAAATTGGACGAATCGATTCACAAAAAATGAAAATCTTAAAGATCGATTTCGCAAAAATCGATATTTTTTATTTGCGTTAAGAGTTTATATTTACAATATTAAAAGATACAATAAAGTACATATAAAATTGAATGATTTATTTGAAAACCTGTCATTATCTACAAGTTGGGGTACATACAACTAATTGTAAATAATTTTATAGTTCTTAATAAAACAGAAAAAGATTCGATCTCGATTCTCTAGGGTGAAATATCGATTTACTAGATCGATTCAGTACTATATATCGATTTTTTTTATAGAAGAAGGGGCAAACGAGCATTTTTGACAGATGTAACGTGAGAATATATAATTAATAAGTCATTTTGAAATATTTTAAAAAAAATAATTAAAAATACTTCGACGCTGCTCCGGCAGCAAAAATCGCGTGGGGGTGCTTCAGATAAACCCCCTTGACCCCCCCCCACAGTGACAGAATCTTCAAATTCAGGCGACCTAATTGTAAGCCCAACTCAAAGCACCTCTTCGTCGTATTTCCTCAGTTTCAAGGCACTCCCCTTATTGCCTTGGCCAGTATTGGAATCCTGGGCGTCGACATATTGAACAATGTGCAGTTTCGTGGTCACTTGGAAGAGAAGACCAAATTGGCCTCTTAACAGCTTGGCGTGCTTAACAGAGCGGGACAGTATTTCATGCCGGCACACCGCCTGCAACTTTACAAGGCGCAGAATACCGTTCCCATCTCTGGGCCGAGCTCTCCAGTACCAGTTCGCGTACCATACACAGAATTTGGATGCTTGGCAGTCCACCACTGTACGTTTCACTAGGAGTTTTGTTCCTCGCACAACCTTTTTGGGGAATCTTTTACTATCGGCGATTTATCCGGACTGGGGCGACTTAAGGAGCTTCCAGAAAAGAGTTAGCTCCTTTCTAAAAAGCCGGCAACGCTCCCGCAATTCTACTGGTGTTTCAGTTATTTATAGGCGGCGGTAGTCACTTACCATCAGGTAAGCCGCATGTTCATTTACCCCCTATTCTATAAAGTAAAAAAAATATCGTGCGCCCAGCGGAACGAGCGAGTATCAGCTAGTTTTATATAAAGACATACATAAATCTTTTCATCCTTAATTGCTACAATTTGTTGGACATACGGTGGGGACAGAGGATAGCCCTAGAGTATAAATAAACTAGCTATGCTTATTTATGTGTAGTCTAAGAGGACAGCAATTTCGTTTCTCCACACGCTACAGAGTATTATGCCTGCAATGGAAATAGGTAGGCTTAACCGGGTAAGGACTGAGGACTAAGCTCCTATAGTTATATATCATACAATGGCAGCATAATGATGTCGTGTTTCGTATGATAAATGAAGTGAACGAAAGACCCTTTTCACTGGTAAAGAGGCGTTATATTGTTTCATTTGCATTTTTATTATTAAACTATAGATGTAGGTTTTTATAGGTCATAACATCTAATTACTATTATCTGGTTATTTTGCACACTTATTTCTATAAAAACTCCATCCATTAATAAACATAATAATTATATACTAACATAACTAAAGTAGACCTGTTTTAAGTTACACTAAATTACCAGGAAAACAAAAGATGGAGAAGGAAAACTTAGAAAAAGTAAATTAAGTCTAATATATTCACTGATTGAAGTTATAAAAGTTGTTAAATACAAAATTATTCAAGAAAAGTTTAATTAGAAGTTTTCTTCGCTGTAAAGATAATTAAAAAGTGTTTTGAAGTTTCTAAACATTTTTTATTTATTTTCCGGGGCCAATATTCTGTTGCGGATGGAATATTACACAGGGAGGCGTAGTTTTATAAGAAAATTTGTTATAGTTGTTTGAAAGTAATAAGAAATAGATATTAATTATTACAATTTATGTAGACAAATACATAAATAACGTATGGTAGTGGCGTTAAAGAATACATCACCTTGTAGTGATTCTTGAATGTCGTAAGAGGCAATTAAAGGAAAATTCATAAAATGTTATATTCTTCGACGCGTGATGGTATTACCATGAAAAATACCCAGACCAACGACGAGGAGTAGCGATAAAAATGTAAGGCGTCTGCGTAGTAAGCGTGGCGATAATGGCAAATTATTCCTTCTTCGGGGACGCCCATGTCCATCTGTTAATTTAACGGGTTGGTAAAGAATAAAGGAAGAAAAAAGTGGAATGTAAAGCACACAATCGTTTCTCAGGTATCATATTTTAAGCTGTAAGTCGATAATAAGAGTTTGCTTACTTGCGCATACTCTGCTTCAAATAATTTATTTTACGAACATAAATATAAATAGAGGAAAACTGAAAAATTTTTTTAAACGTAAAATATTTTAATGTTAATAACAAAGGTAGCAAGCTATTTCTGATGTGAACCCACGCAAGAACGATGATTATGATGATGATAGTGATAAGGCAATCATAGTTTCTGCCTTTTCGTGTTTTATTTCTTTTATTTTACTTTTAAAATAAAATAAATTATAGCGCATCGCCTCCACAAATTCCATTATGAAGTACCTACATTATTCTCTTTCAATTTGGAGAAACCTCTCTGTTAACACTTGTCTTGTTTATTTGAACTTCGCAATGGAATTTTATGAATACATAAAATACAATCTTTTCAGAAGCATCCGGCTTCTGACGTCTAAAGCTGTATGATATTATGTTTACGTTCCTAACCGTATTGCGATTTTTATCTTATTTGATATTTACTACTGGTTCTTTACAAATGATCGTTTATTAACTACAGTTTATTATAAGTCCACTGCTGAACATAAGGTAGCCATAATATAAGGTATATTATGGCTACCTTATGTGAAAGAAATTTTCCGTAATATCCGTGCTTAAAATGTAATGTGGCAACTACAGTTTTTATAGTTTTGAGTTTGTATCAGGAAAATGCAACATCCCATGTCCTATTTTATTTCCTATAATTTCAAAACAGAAAAATTTTACATCCTTGTCCTCTCTTCCACAAAAAATGTATTTATAAAACCAAAAAGTTTTTCCTGCACTTTGAATATTTAAAAAGTAAAATTGTTTTATCCGAAAATTGAACTTTGGACTAGGATTCAAACTCAGAATTTATCAATATAAATACGCTGAGGTTTGTTTTAAGTAGTCAATAACATTACATAATATAATGAAACATAAATATATTAACCGTGTTATGTCGGTATAAAAATATCCACTGCCTCATATCGTACCGTAAGTGTGGTAACAGGCTTAGATCAGTGACAGAGATCGACAAACTAGATGGGCAACGTCTTCCTAATATCAACTAAAAAATGAAAATTGTGGCTGCCAACCCGCCTGCCAAGCGTGGAAACTGTGGCTGCCAACCCGCCTGCCAACCCGCCTGCCAAGCGTGGAAACTGTGGCTGCGAACCCGCCTGCCAAGCGTGGAAACTGTGGCTGCCAACCCGCCTGCCAAGCGTGGAAACTGTGGCTGCCAACCCGCCTGCCAAGCGTGGAAACTGTGGCTGCCAACCCGCCTACCAAGCGTGGAAACTGTGGCTGCCAACCCGCCTGCCAAGCGTGGAAACTGTGGCTGCCAACCCGCCTGCCATGCGTGGAAACTGTGGCTGCCAACCCGCCTGCCATGCGTGGAAACTGTGGCTGCCAACCCGCCTGCCATGCGTGGAAACTGTGGCTGCCAACCCGCCTGCCAAGCGTGGAAACTGTGGGCCAACTGCCAACCCGCCTGCCAAGCGTGGAAACTGTGGCTGCGAACCCGCCTGCCAAGCGTGGAAACTGTGGCTGCCAACCCGCCTGCCAAGCGTGGAAACTGTGGCTGCCAACCCGCCTACCAAGCGTGGAAACTGTGGCTGCCAACCCGCCTACCAAGCGTGGAAACTGTGGCTGCCAACCCGCCTGCCAAGCGTGGAAACTGTGGCTGCCAACCCGCCTGCCATGCGTGGAAACTGTGGCTGCCAACCCGCCTGCCAAGCGTGGAAACTGTGGCTGCCAACCCGCCTGCCATGCGTGGAAACTGTGGCTGCCAACCCGCCTACCAAGCGTGGAAACTGTGGCTGCCAACCCGCCTGCCAAGCGTGGAAACTGTGGCTGCCAACCCGCCTGCCAAGCGTGGAAACTTAGGAAAATATCCCTCCCATGGGCCAATTTATGGAGGACGCCTTTGTTCAGGAGTAGACTTGTTAGGCTGTAACATTTACGATAAATATTATAATGATATGTATATTTTTTGTTTCATGTACCTTACATCTTCAAAAATAAAGGTAAGGCATTTTAATCTTAAATTTAATCACATCCGGGAACACAATTGAACACGTGAAGTTAGGCAAAAATCAAATTATCCCTTAAAAATATTCATTTGATAAGCTTTTCACATTGGTATTATCAATATATTATTAGAAAAGTTTGCTATGGTTAAAGCCTTTTATCAATGTTGTCGTTAAATGCAATATTTATTTATACACATTACGGAGTATTCAATTTTTAATTATTATTAAATTCATAAACACTTCACTATAATAAAGTGTTTATTTATAGAAACAGGGTAAAATGTTACTTCGATATACGGCAAAACGGCGATGTTAATCGACTAATATTATATTTTATTATTTCAGACCGGGTGACGTTTAGACCAGAGAGTAAGTTACCGGGTTTGTGCCGAATTTATTTGTGTTTAGAGGGACCAACAGCGCTTTATTATGAACGCTAGATTAGAACTAATGCTTCTATTTGCTGCCTTTGTAGACCTATTTAAATTTCGATAAAAAAAATTAGGATCAAATATTGACGAATGTATGAACCAGCTAATTCGCAAGATTTATTTAAAACTATAATTTTTGCAGTTTTAAGAAAAAAGTTTATTATAATATTCTATTATTCATCAAAAAATCGGCTAAACTATGAATTTTTTTAACGTTGTTGCTTTTTGTGTTCTTCTGTTTTAGAATTGTTTTATATCTAACCAAAACTGCTTGTAGTGGAGCCGTTTTAACAGATCATAGATGCAGCAGATTAACAACAGCTTCTTGTGCGTAGAAAATATTTATTAATCCTTCATTAATTTTTGGATAAAAGAACGCTTTTACAGAAATAGCACGAATTAAAAACATAAAAATATTTTTAAAATTCAATTATTTTATTTTAAAAACTTTATTGCGACCCCTTAGAAAAAAAAATAAAGGGCGTACTGTATGTATTGAGATTATTTTTCAATATAATTATTTTGATAAATAAATGAAAAACGTATTACAGTTAGTCACTATTCTTTATGTATTTATTATATAAAGCAACACGCACATATTATATGTAGTATTTAAAAAATTACGCAAAGAAGAGTAAGGTAGATAGATTATGTACAGGTTTCAGTTCATTATTTTTAAAATCAAAGCAGTTTGACGCAACTCACTCGTAATATCAATTTGGTAAACCAATTCTCTTTAGAAGTGAAAACATCGAACATAAATTAAAGTCTACGACTATCCACAAAGACGACGTTTGAGTGCAAATGCGAATGACGTTGGTTAGCTCGACGTGCTCTATCTCGTTATACGTTTCCGGATCGATGAGCAGAAAAGTCTTTGAACTAGATTAAAATTAGAAGTTTTAAGTTAAATGAGTGTTGGTTTACTTAAGATGCTATGCGAATTATAGTCGGAGCCAACATAATGTTGTCAATGAAAATTTACATGTCTTATTATTATATTGTAATAGCCCAGAAACTAAAAATAAATATATAAAGAACATAGAACTTGCTTCTTATATTATTAGAAAGGGTCATTGCTCTTTGATCCTATAATATTATTAATTTAATTGTATAATACCTATGCATTGGAACAGTTCCGATTTTGAAACTCCGTAGGAGACATTCTGTGAGTGATTTCTTACACTTACGCCAAATTGAACACTACAAATTGAATAAAACTATTTACGCGAATTATATCGCGTTTAATCAACTTATTTTTCATAGCCCGGATATCTTCATTTTTTGAATATTAATTTTATATTTATTTTGAATATTAATATTCAAAAACTGAAGGTAGCCGCGCTAACTATGACATTGGGACTTCAAACATCTCACTTTCCCCGTGACCACGGGTACTGTAAAGCACCCGAAAAGTCTAGAATTAAATATAAGTTAGTTAAACCCGATAAAATCTGTATAAATAGTTTTATTCAATTTCTTTGAATTCATAATTAATCTAAAGCTTAAAAGTCGAAAGCGGAAATCGGAACTATTTCATTGCGACCCTCAATGAACTAATTCCGTGTTAAATCGATTTAATGTTTAAATGAAATTAAAATAACACAATATATGAAAATAACACAAATAGTGTCTTCTAACACAATTCATTCGCATTCACAAGTGGGGAAGCCAAGTGTAAGCTATCTTAGTATTGTAGCACGAAGCGGTCGGCTCTACCAGGGAAGGACCACGCTCTTACTGAATACCCGCGTCAAAAAGCAACATAATGCTGCTATGTTTTGTATGGTAAGTATAGAGAACCGGAGACTCGTTTTACTAAAAACGAGGCATTCCATCTTAGTCCTCAGGGGTGACAACGCATTTTAGTTCTCAATCGATATTAGATAAAGATGTCTATAAGCCACAGCGTCCACTTACCATCAAGTAAACTATGCGTTAGTTTGTCACCCATTTCGACAAAAAATAGTGCTTACTTTTATACAACAATATTCCAACAGTATCCACAGTTTCTCCTTAACAGCCTTCAACAGCGTCTATCGTTGTTCGATATTTTTAATTAAGGTTTTAAATAAAGATGGGTCCTATTACATTCGTTTCTAAATTAAATATTAAAACAATAAAAATTAAAAGGCAATCCTGTCGAAGAAAATTTATAATGACGTAGTCTTTCAAATTTTTATTTATTTACAACCGTTTGACTGACTTCAAGTGAGCGCGTTGTTTCATTAAAAAATCTTTTTTTTTTCGGGCTATCGACACCTCCATTTACTATTTTCTTCTTTTAAGTAAATTTATCTTAAATGCATTCGTTTTATTAAACTTAAATAAATAGCAGGTACCTTCATAAAAATTAAAATGCAACAACGCAAATCAAAACTCAAGGAGGAATTAGATGAAGGGGTCAAGAAGCACTCATTTTGTAGACTGTGTTGCTATAAGTGATCTAAACAAGACTTTGGCTGTTTTCCAACAATCTCGAACAACGTCGACTTGTCGATACCGGTTACTAAGTGCACTCTTTCATTCTTATCTTAATAGAATTTTAGATTTCAATGTACAATGCAACAATTAGGAGCTGCTAATCATGTCATTAGACAAAAAAACGAACCTACCATTTATACTTTTCTAGCAATTCGCCCCAGCTTTACACGGGTGATTTTTGGACTCGACATCAGCACCACCTACCGGGGTCCAATTGAGTTTTTAAACTATCTAGGTATGCACTCAAATATATACAAAAAAATGATCAAAATCAGTCGAGCTATTTTCGAGTTTTTGCCAGACTTTTTTACGTGGTAGAGCCATGCTGCAGTTATTTTAGTAGTATAGTTGTAGCACGAATGGGTCGGCTCGACCGGGGAAGTACCACGCTCTCACAGAATACTAGCGTCAAGTAGTAGCTTATCGCTGCTGTGTTTCGTATGGTGAGTGTAGAGAACCGGAGACCCTTTTTACTGGAAATTAGGCATTCCATCTATGTTTAGTCTATGGGCCACAGCAACCACTTACCATCAGGTGGACTGTGTGCTCGTTTGTCACCCTATCCTATATAAAAAAGACTAACGGATAGCAATTGATTTTAATATAAGTGATTATATTTTTATTTGTTTGGAAAATTTAGAGCTGATTTTCAGAAATTATTATAATAATGGCTAAAAAATGAATCATTGGTTGACTATTGTTGTGGCGATTTTACAAGTAAACACTTAAGAGAGACAAAATAGGTCAAAAGAAAAATCAAGAAAATATTATAAAGAGGAAAGATTTTCTTGTTTTTTTTTTTGTTTGTTTTTACCGGATAAGCTTCGAAACACCTGTAATTCCCCTGGTATTGCAGTTGTTCATGGGCGGCGGTAGTAATTAACATCATGAGCCGTATGTTCGTTTGCCCCCTCTCCTATTAAAAAAAAACTCCTTAACCGATTTTAACCATTTCCCACCAATATAGTGCTAAATTATCAAGTAGTAAATAAGATATAATTTATTTTCAAAAAATTTGAGTTCTTAAGAAAATTGCAGTAACGTAACCCAAAATACCAAAATTTTGCCTAAAAATTCATTATTTGGCGAGCGCACAGAAAACTTTTTATGAGGTATAAAAATTATGTGCTACGTAATTAAAGTACTCACTATTACCTACAAAAAAGTTCGTTAGAGAATATATCTAACTATAATAGTTAAGTGAGTCGCAATAGTAGCTCTTGTGCTCTAAAATTTTATTAGATTGCGGGTAGAAACAAAAGTCGGTTACATTCGTATCGTAGAATTAATTCTTATTCAAATAAATAGTTTTATCATCAAGAGTAGGTATTTATGTAGCAGAAAAATAATTTTTAATTCGTTCGAATCGGATATTTTATTTCTAAGTTATCAGGAGTATGAAATGCAATACGCGAAACGCCACACGGCTCGGTGCGCGAACGGCATAACCCTACGGCTCTGACGCGTGACATATGCGGGTGAAACCGCGGGGCACAGCTATAACTCGTACGAATTAACTTGAGACCTGGGCCGATGACGTAATTGTCAATGTACGGTGTGCAAAATAATGCGTCGTAATATTTTTTTATTTGAAATTTTTAAGATTTGCATGAGATTATTAATAAAAACAAAATAAAATGTTCTGGCAAGGGGTGAAGTAATAAGTGATATACTGTTGCCATTTTTATATATTTTAAATATTTATTTTTTACAATATATATAATATTATTTTTAGTTAACGCGTCAAGGAAGGACAAAGAAATAAACATACACACTTTCGCATTTATAATATTATTAATTTATTTATTATACACTTTATTGCACTATAAAAAGTGTTACAGATTCGTACACAATAAAAATACAAAGCATAACAGGCGACAAACAAACAACAAAAGTCCAAACCAAACAACAAACAATTATCAAAAATATCGAACTAGAGTCGAGACGCGTATCCGTAACAAAAATGCTATCGGTACTGAACGCGCACGGTCAGCGCGGGATGCGGTGCGGGGAGTCGGAAAGGGGGTCGCATTCCAGCGGAGTCTCAAGTTAATTCGTACGTGTTGTAGTTATACATGATAAACTTACTTGCGTAAGTTGCAACATCGCATGTACATATAAATATAAAATACCACAGACATAAGTTCTGGTAAAATATGAACAAAATAAAGATGAGGTAGATATTAGTATTAAAGACTTGAGACGCTCCAGCGACATAACAAATGACTAACATAGAGGAAACAAAGGGAACAACAAAGATAACGACCGTGGAAGACTAAACAAGTGGCCACGGCATTGCTATCGGTTCAAGATCGCATAAAACCACTATATAAAACGTCGTCTGCATTCACATTCGTATTCTCCGTAACATAACTTTTAGGCACTACTCCGACTAGTACTTGAGTCCCGAATATTGTATTATTTATTCATTAGTTGTTCAGAACTAATTTTCAT